GTATATTAAATTTGCTTTGGCTTTGAGTTCGGTTTTTGCAAAGACCGAAAAAAATTAGGGAGGAAACCTAGCAAATATATCAAATGGATTTGTTGTGGTGTTAAAATACAACACTATTCAGAGTTTGTCAAAAGTAGAGGCTTTTGAAGGTCTCTTTGATGAATTCTTTAACTAACGCCAAGTCAAAGCATTTTAGGAAGACAAATGTAATTAAATATTGCAGCATAGAAATGCTTAATTATGGCGTGAGAAAGCAAAAAGAAAAATAATGAAAACGAAATGAATTTGGATACCAACGGTGATAGAAATAATTGGAAATGTCGCACAGTCTCCATTTGAGTGTTCTCATTTTCTCACTCATTCAAGTCGTGTAGAAATATCTAAATTAAAATAGAATTATTTTCTTTGGTGAAAGTGCCAATGATTTGAAAAGTGGTTTTGACATTCAGTGTCCTTTAAAACAGGCAGTGATTTCAATACATTTCAGTCCGGGGTTTTGTGTGAAAAGTTCGTAAGAACCGTTTAGATTGAGAGCGTCAAGACCACAAACATCCTTGAGATCTTTCATTATTTACAAAAATTTATTGCTAAGCTTTTAATAATCAGACCATCGTCGGTCGTTTTTCAAGATTTAAAAATCGAAATATTGTTTTTATCTTTCCAACAATTATTTATTTATATGGAACAAGAGTTCTTGACATATTTTAAGCTACAAGAAATGATAGTTGATAGAAAATTCTGACACCAAAGGAATTACTGAACTTACGTTCTCGTACAAAGTTGATAACGCAAAAGCTCTTGAAAGCACACATTCTTAGGTAAATTAAAATTATTCACCATGGCTTAAAATTATTCACCGACTGAAATAATAAAATTCAATATATTTTTGCAACTCCAAGTTTCATTTGAAAGAGCTTATTAGCCCTACTAGCAACTAATGTTCGAATAAAAGCTCCTAAAACAAATCATGAAAACTCAAAAACGTTTAAAAGGACCCATAAGCTTAGGAGACTTTCCTAACATGAAATTTTAAACATAGCAATGGCATCCATAACTGATTTATTTTTTTTGCAATAATAAATGAAAGCTTATATCTAGGAATAAATAAAATCTCGAAGGGGCGAAAAAATATAAAAGGTTTTAAAGCTTTAATTTTTTCTGACATAATAATATTCAATATTTTGACCATAAAAGTCAAAAAAAAAAATATATACAGGAAAAGCTGTTTTGTGAGTATTGTGAAAGCTCAACATACATTTGAAGCACTAAAAGCTCTGCTACAGAGATCATTCTTTGTAGCTGGTTCATCCGGAAGTTTAAAATTAACCTCGCTGCAATCCAAAAAAAAATATTACCCAATTTTTCGGAAAACTAACGTTCAGTTAGTATGTGAATCGATATCATGCTTCCATCAGCTTTATATAAATTCAAGCCAATTTGAAAGTGCATTGAATGCAACACTGCAATCACTAAATCCAGACACCAGCCAGTCAGTCAGTCAGTCACATTCAGGCATTGAATACGCCAGTAAAAAAAGGAGAAAGAAACAAAAACTAACCGCTACAATTGGCTAGACAATTTCTTTCGCGATTTTTGTTTTCGTATTTCAAATTTTTTAGCCGTTGGTCAGCAGCACAAAAATACGTCCCAGCGGAGCTTCAGCTGCATATGTGCACTGTGAAATGAAAAAGAGGAGTGTATTGCGATGGGGTATATAGAAAATTGCAGGGAATTTGAAGTACTCACAGTGGCATGCGCTGTAATAAAAATATGCTAGGATGTCTCTCAATTCATACCTACATATACTAAGTTGCAGTCGTGCCTTCATCCCTGCTCCGTTATTCACTACACTAAAGCTTGCCTCAATTGGTCATTTGGCAGTGCAGTTAGCACTATGGGCACGTACACTGGACATTGCAGTTTTGTTATATAATATATAGGGAATTTTATATGTATGTGTGGATGAGTTATTGCTAGCTTGCTATATGTATCTTGCCGGCGCCGGGCAATGCAGTAACTAAGCATTGAAACTATTGCCGCAGCTAATAGCATTGGCACACTGTGAAATATACAAATAAAAATTGTATCTCGAAAATATTCCTCTTTGTTGTTTGTTACTTTTTTCAGCAAACAATAAATTTTGGATTTTTTTTATGAATTTCATGAATTTTTTATTTGGATGTGTGGTCATTTTAAGTGGCTATCAATGATTATATGGGATCTCCACTTTTTGCCAACTCTTTTAAATAAAAAAATTGTATTTTTTTTTGAATAAAAAAATATTAAATTTCTTTTAATTAAATTTTCTATATTTTTATTAGAAAAATTTGGCATGTACATACAATACATTTATGTTAAATACAAAAAAATTAAAAATTTCTTTTACATTTATCTAAAAATTCCAATTTATTTAACTCTAAAATGCCTTTTAATATAGCACTTCTATTGGATGGCATTTTTATGCCTCAATTGTGGCATCAATAGCCTAAAGGAAATTTAAAGTTTCATAATAAATTTTTCATTTACATACAATTTTTTTTTCATTACAAATTTTTCCACTCGACAACCAAAATTGCTGATATTGCTGTTTAAACGCATAGTTTGGCAAAAAAAAATTTGTCAAATCAGCAAGTAGTGCAAATATTGCAAAAATATATATTTTTTTTAATGTCTATCAGTTTTGGTTGCAATTTAATAAAACACGATTTTTCGCAGATATATATTAGTTGCACTAAAAAATTGTCGCTCGCTTTTTGAGCGTCAAAAATGTTGTCGCTGCTAATGAACAAACATGTTGAAATCGATGCTTGATAGTGTCATGGGCTAAAGGAAATGAGTTTCCGAAAAAAAGCAGAAAGAAAAAGTACAAAATAACTATAATGAAATACTTTAAACACGAGCAGAGTGCTTAACAGCATTTTTAGCTAAAAACTTAAATAAAATATAAAATAATGCAGAAACTAGAGGGTTTATATAATATAAAGGTAGGGTTTATAATAATATAAAAATAAATAATCCTGGTGATGGAACCCTAATTTTTAATAAAATTTGGGAGCAAAATTAAAAAAAAAGAAAATTGGTCTAATAGACGCCGTCGTATGCTTCGTTTCAATTGCTCTGATTAAACTTTGAGTTTCTTAAACACTCTAATGAGCTTGGAGCGCAACAATCAACTCTAAGAAGTATCCTTTTCAAAAGACAATAAAATGAAAATCTCGTAGAGTCTTAGAACAACCAGCACATTCCTGTATGATCGAGACGAAATATCAATTTTCTTCAATGAAGCAATCTGCGCTCTCGCTTCTGGGTATTACAAACTTCGTGGCAAACTTGAATTATCTCACAAACTTTGTTGACTTTGAAAAAGATTTGTATGGCCTTGATTTGAACGCAAAATAGGTAGTCATTTTACTTACTGGGCGTCAGCAATCTATAACATATTAAATGGATAAGAAGTAGATATATTTATAAAATATTTCTATAGTTACATCTCAATCATTTCCTAATATGTGTTAAGGCGACCGTGATTTGAGAGCAATTTTGTAATACCTTATTTGTTTGTATTTTATAGCTAAGAGAGTCGTTTGATAATTCAGTGGATAAAGGTGTAATAATATGCAGATTTTTATGAGATTTACAATTTTATTTACTGAAATTGTTTTCAAATCTTTGTCTTTATTAGTTAGTTTGGATATTTTCGATAGAGATATGCTACTACTTTATGCTTCAAGCTGAAAGTTATGAAACCTTTACTAAATTAGGCTGCTTTTTCTCTCTTTCGGGACTCTGGTTCATTACCATAAATTCATCTATAGGTAAAACAAGAATCCTGACAGAGATTGCAGTTAAAAAAACAACCAATAAATATATAAATGGTGTAACAGGGTAGCTTGTGTAATTATTTACCAGAAATCGCGTCTGTGAAAGTCAAAATGTTGATATAACAGTTAGTAACTCTTTTAATTTGCCAATCTCTAATAGTAATATATTATCTAATAGTTTTTATGTACCAAATCGAAGCCCAACATCCTTCTTTCGAAGCAAAGTCTTTGTCGGCACATATGTATATGATTTTATAATTTAAACCACGAGTAGTACCCTCGTATACTAAAAATAAGCGCTCTGTAATATTATTAATGAGCTCCATGTCTAATTGGACTGCTGCTGTGCTGTTAGCGATTTCTTCTGTGCACGCGCCAACTTATTCACACCATGTTAGGTGACTGGCTGCAATTAAAGGTAATTTATGCTACCAGAAACGGGCAAGGGTGTCACTTCTGGCATTTCATTGATTAAATGCAAATGCAGGCCACACTCTAGTAAACTTGACTCTTTGTTATTTAAATTGTAAGAATGTTTTATTGCTGAACCCAGTGCACAATCACAAAGTAACATTTTCGTTACGATGATACACGGTGGGTCAAAAGTATTGTTTTATTTCGTCGCTGATAAATAGATAAACATTTTCTACATTTCTCTTCAAATGTCAATCTAGTTTGTTTTAACATTATTGCAACATGGGTCGGAAATTTCCCAGCTTAATGCATGAAATGTTTTGTGTTTCTTACGAATATTTTTCTTCAAGCACCTTCCTGCGTTACTTATGAAAAATATCCTGTAAATATGATGAGTCATGGTGGTCAGTTAAAGTCACTTCTTTTGGAATTATTCAGCCTGAAAATTCTCAAACTACTTCAAATATGACTTTAGATATACGACATCTTGCTGATAGCACATTTTCTGACTAAAACCAGTGGGTTGCAGTGGCGCAGGAACCGAAAATCCGGCGTGGTATCTCGAAGCAGTTGCCGATTCAAACATAAAGAGGCTTGTGGCTAACCCTGTCATTATGTCTGATAACAAATCAATCGCTATTATATTATATTACAGCTTAAGCGCAAGATTTACGACCGAACTTATTGTTCTCTTCTGTGCGTTGGGTACAACGCTCGAACTCGTGCCACGATAGACTTGTTCTTTAATTGTTTGCAAATAAAGAACTGGATTGCAGAAAATTATTGTCTAGTCTAGTTTAATTTTCCCTCATATGCATAAATCAATTATATTTCTTAAATAGAGCTTTCTGATATAAAAGCGGCGAGATCAGTTAGTCTTTGTGTTATAGTGCTCAACTCAGTTCAAGTCAACGGATGAAGATTTTGTGCGGAGCAAATCAATTGAATAGAAAGCCAAGATGAGGACGGCTACGGTGAGATATTTTTCTCAAATAACTGCAGAAGTTATATTAATATTTAATATAATTTAACAGGTTATTTCCTTAGTTGCAATTACCTTGTTGTATGTTAATCAAATTAGAGCCAGCATTGTGCCCTTGACGGGTGTGAATCAAATACCTTTGGTGTTATCTGTGCCAACTGTGGTGACGGTGGTTCGACCAGAAGATGATGGACAATATAAACCAGTGCCCGGTTTGGAGGGCGAATATGTGCCGGGCATCGAGGACGCAGGTATAACCAATATCATAACTCCAGGCGTATTGACTGGTGGTGTTGTTGGAGGACCATTAGTCAATTCTGCAGGTGCTCTGTTCAGTGTTGCTGTGCCTGCAAGTGTTGCTGGTTCTGTAAATATTGCTGGCGCTGAAGGTGCGGCAGTTGCAGAAGCAGTGATTAGTTCAGAAGTTGGTGGCGATGAAGGAGCTGACGGTGCATATAGCTCTGAAAATCTTGGATCCAGTGACGGCTCAAATGAAGATGAAAGCGCTGCAGTAGACGTACTTGGTTCTGCTGATGATGAAAGTGGTGGAGAAGGCAGTGTAGGTGCTGGTGGTGCCATAGGAGCTGCGCTACTAAGTGTCGCAGCTGGAGCTGGTAGCGTTATTGGAGTCGGAGGACTAGGCGGTGTAGTTGGGCCTGGTAGTGCCATTATAGTAGATGAGTTAGGTGCTGGAGGTGCTGCTGTAAGTGCTATTGGAGTTGGCGGATTAGGTGGCGAAGGCGGTACTGGTGGCGTTAGTAGTGTTGGAAACATAGTCTTGGGTCCTTATGCTACCGTTAGCAGTGCATCTGGCGGTGGTGGTGGCGGAGGCGGTTCTGGCGGAGCTAGCGGTATTGGTGGTGCCGGTGGCGGCGGTGGAGCTGGTGGTGCTGGCGGTGCCGGTGGCGGCGGTGGTGCTGGCGGTGCCGGTGGCGGCGGTGGTGGAGGTGGTGGAGCTGGCGGTGCCGGTGGCGGCGGCGGTGGAGGTGGTAGTGGACATGGCGCTGCAGGAGGTGGCGGTGGCGGAGGCTCAGCTGGTATCGGAGGTGCCGCTGGTGGTGGTGGTGGTGGTGGTGCTGGTGCTGCTACTGGTATTGATGGTCGAGCTGGCAGTTCGGGTGCAAGTGGTGCAGACGCTTGGGGTGGTGGCGTGGGTGGTGCTGGTGGTCTTGGTGCTCCCGCTTTACCTTGGCTAAGTGTCCATTAAAAAATCTTCTTTCTTTAAAAAGTCCCTGAATAATGCTCAAAGTAATGGAAATGTGATGTGTAATCTAATATATTATATATTTAAATTTTGACATCAACTAAACTAGTTTAAGTCTAGTCGCCATTTTTTATTTGCAAGTGAATAAAAAAATTTCACAATAAAATTGTAACTAAATATTGGGGTTCATAAAACATTTATATTATTTTTGTGCCAAATTTTTCGAAATTGCTTTTGTGAGTAACGTTGTCAATCGAAGCGCAACCTCTCTACGTCGACGCTTCGGTTGGCGAGCTTGTTCTCAAACCACTTGCTCAAATCTCAGCATAGTATTTAACTTGGCTTTGAGCCGAATTGTTCTTTTTAAACCAACCTTCCCGCCAGCTGAGATTAGATCGAATGACTTCACCCAAACTAATTTCAAAATTTTGCTTCGTATAGAAATTTTAATAATTTTTCGTAACTCAACATATTAGAGCATTACCACAGTTATAATGCTTGTTTACAATTTATAGTTATATATTGACACCAGCGCCACGTATTGGCAACAAATTAGTGATTATTCAAAGCAAACCACAAAGAGTGAACAATTAAATTATTACTTTGAACCACACCCGGGCTCTAACAAAACCACTCTTATACTACTAATGCAATGTTATTCGCAACAACAATAATAAATCGACTTTTGCAATAACTTGCACTTGTAACGAGCTGAATTGTTGATAATTTGCATAAAATATTTGCAATTTGTGGCAACTAAACGTGTCGCATTCATATGGAAATGAGGAATGCGAATCATACTAGTGCAGAGAAAGGGCGGAGTGAGGTGTTTAGTAAAGGCAAAGTGATCACAGTTTATATAACGCTATCATAACATATATTTTACACACTAATGTGCATATGTATGTATGTATATCTGCATATTTTGCATGACCACTCTTAAGTGTGCAGTACCGCAGAGAATAGTTAACATTTATTTAAATACTTTTTAATGGAGTTTTATGCATTTGGAAGTTTGCTTTACCGTTCTCTGCGCACAATTCGAGGTCACAGCTTAACGCATTCACCAACGATTGCAAATTGTATGATGTAAGCCTCCTAAGTGCCATTACCATAATTTTCATTAAGCTTAGTGTGTAACTAGTGGATAAAATGGCAGCAAGGTCTTATAATAGCTGTGGTTCAAATATAGATTGAGTTGAGTACATTTATATACATATATATATACATTTATCTGTATATATAGGTAGGTCCATATCGTCTTCAGAGACTGACTGTGTGAAGCGGGGTAGCATGGTCTCATTTAAGATGTAATGAAAATAAATCTATTATTTTGTTAGTAGATGGCTTTAGTAATCTGTATTTCGCTTGTATAGGTACAGGTGCGGCTTACGCTAGATGGTATTTAAAAGAAAATATTTCGTACTAAAAACCTTCATAGAAACTTTTGTGATTGCTTGACTCAGTATTGATTAACACGACTCAAAAATGTGCATCAGCAATGAGAAAATACGCTATATTTGGTAGCTTGCCTTCGATAAAGGTGCAAATGCAAGCCATGCGAATTAAAATGTGAATAATATTTATGGTACTGATATTGTAACAGCCAATTACGCAAATCTCTGGTTTACTCGATGCCGTTCCGATAATTTTTATATCAAAGATGTTCGAAGCCATACAAATAAGTCTGCATACTAAAAGAAGCTTAATTTATGAATGCCACATGAGTCAAGTTAAAAAGATTAGGGCCGTAACGCGGGGAGCCGGCGCAAACGGCGAATTGACGGCCTGGAAGGTTTTATATAAGCTAAAATTTTTTTTGTTTTATATGCGCTTAAGTGTAGGACTATAAACGTAGATATAAATATATAACTGCGTATGCAACCCAACATTCCCGCTTACCAAACGTATTGCAACAATCTGTGTCAGTAGCCACGAAATTCGCCGATTTGGCTGATGGCATTTACAGTTTTGCACTAAATTAAATGCGCATTCACTTGTGCAACAGCATGTTGCAGCAAAATACATAAACACATACATATCGGGTGTACCGTTATATGCACATTTTGTATGAAATACAGCTACGAACTATTACCTATTGTGTGTGTGGGTAGCAATGGAGGGCACACAATTTGTGTGCACGAGAATGCTGCCCTTCCTCGAAGCCACGCTGGCTTATGTGCGAGCTCTCTACTCTGTATATATAGCGCTATATACATATATATATACCTCCTCTTCTACTCAATATCGTTGCATTTTGTCGCGTGCTTATTGAGCAAATTATGAACCTCTCAATTAAGTGCAAAAAATGGCGCCAACTGCGCTTTGGACCGCAACAACAACATGCCGCCACACATTGTCAGACAACACACTTGCGTTCATAGCAACAGCAGCCAAACTAATGTCAACTAAGCTTTGGGCAACAGCAAGCGAAGAGCAACTCTGAAAATTGTCATCCAAAAGTCTGCAGCACGAGTTTGAGCATGAGCCCTAAATATCAACACCACCGTAAGCAAAGAAACGCACGAGCAACATCATCAACACTGGATAGTGAGCACAGCAGCTTTTAGCTCGGAGACAACAGTGAACCCACTAACGTGATATTTTAGTGTAATAATAGCTAGAAAAGCGCCAGACAGCACACACCATTATTTACTCCGGAAAATGTGCGTGGGATATGTAATAATATCTGTACTTCAGGGTCACAGAGGTCATTATCAGCAAAATAGTTCATTGCAATGACGTTATGCTGATAGATAGCTAAGGTTTCATATAATGCTGCCTTGTGAGAGCAAATCTGTTTACAAATATATAAATAATACACACGACAGTCGGTTCCTCGTTATGAGAATTTTTGCGGTTCTAATCTGGTCAAGGTTTGTTATTTCGGCGATCTAACTCTGTTAGGAACGGTAAGTTATATAAGCACAAGTTCTCTGAACATATCGTCCATATCTACTAAACTCGAACTCTTTCATTGATGCCGAAATCGATTTGAACACATCCCTAGAATAACCTATGTATGGCAGCCATATGCTATAATCGTTCCATATCGGCGTTTCTGAGGAAAAAAACGTTTGTGAAATTTCAGACCGACGTCTCGAAAATAGAGGGATAATTTCGCGTATTTACATAATGAAAAACTGCCGGACACTGCTACAACATTTCCGTTTGAGCATTACAAACATCGTGGCAAACTTAATATAACCTGTTCAGGGCATAATTAGCTCTTCGACCCAATGTGACCAATAAATGATTAATCTGCCTAGTCTTAACATCTCGCTTAACAAATAATATACTAATCGGTTCAAATATCAAGAAATTAGAGTATCTATATATGTTATATAAAGCGGATCCACTCAGCTACCTTTCACATACAGCCGAGTTCAGTTTTACTAAAAGCCTTAATAAACGAAAGTAAAAGTGCCTAAAAATATATGTATTTTTCAATTTCCATTTCTTTATTCACCGCCTATTCTACAAATGCAAAAAGGCAGAAAACAATCAGCCGTCTAAAAAACAAAGCTCTGAGCTAACCAACTGCAAAACTATAGCATAACTTTTGATACGTCACGAACACTAGGAGTGTCTATATATAGTCTGCGCTATTGTAATGAGCCACATCCTAAAAAAATGAATCAAACTCACAAATAATAATGGCAAAAATAACTATGAAACATTTTACAAATTACAAGCAATTATATTTTTAATATACACATATGAAAGCATTTGAGCACAACAGGAAATATGTGTCTGCCGTTATTGTTAGAGGTGGTATAATACACAGCAGGAAATATATCAAACCATAATAAATCTTACTGAATGTGTTTATGCTATACTGAACCATGGTTAAGTTGGAGGAGTAGATTAGTAAACGTTTCTTACAAATGCTTAAACTTACCACACATATTAAAAGATTTAAAAAGTGTGTATTAAATGTTGCAGCAATATTGGTGATTTGTATAGACTTTGGGGTTTATGTTGAAAAAAAGAGCCGACGCTGAATGGATACTCAATGGACTGCAGTGTGTGATAGATTTTGGAGTTCCCTGCATATCGTAAGCGCCATTAATGTTTAGAGATATAGACTATGTCACAGCAGTCGCTAAATTGAGAATAGAAACATTTGTTTTTAGAAAAAGGGCTACCCATTTCAAAATTTTAATTACAGTCGAATACTATATATTGTCGCCAAGCAAGATCTTATCAAAACCGACTAAAATTTAAAATGTAAATATTTTTGTTGTTGTCGTTAATTGTTCTTTTGATAAGTAGGAAAATATATTATTACAGTAGCTTTGACTGAAATTCTGACCATTGAACTAGCTGTTAGAGTGTGTAAAGATGTTCTAATCAAACTGCCGTCAAATATATACATACATACTTATATTCATATGAGTATATAGTAAATATACGTTGATATTGCATGCTAGTTGCTTTGATTGTAATATTCTGTCCAATAATATATACTCATACAAACCCCAACCTACTACCAACATCTAATTTCCTGTCGAAAGCGAGTAGATAACACTATTGACGCACACTGCGTATGAGCAACTTTTAATGCACGAGCATCTAAGCACTAATGTTAGTGTCATTGTGTGCATATGCGCACAATATCCTTGCTCCTTTTTATAGCTAGCAGAAGCATGCAGATACTTGTGCAAAACCAACAAAGACCACTAACGTCGGTTGTTTTAACGCATATACAAGTATTTACATACACCACAGAAATTGCTTTTTTCATTTTTGCCTCCTTCATTACAACAGACATGCTTAGTAATGTATGTTGTTGCGCTTTTGTGTCGCTCACACATACATATACAGTTATCGACGCTGAAGTTTAAATAAAATTCCACTATATTTAAACCGCAGTGGAGAACATTTAAAGAATGCAAGAAAAAAATATATAAAATACTGTAGCTAACGGAAGTCGGCAAAGCTAGCGTTAAAAAATGATATGCTAGCAGCAGTGTAAACCTCAACTAAATAAATAGCATTTTCCACATCATATCCTGTCGCAGGGAGTAGCTCACTGTAGTCGACATAGCGGTGGGAAAGCAGCAGTGAAGTTTCTGTGTGCTACGAGCTGGCTGGCTGTGGTGGGTGCGACGCTATTTTCTAACTTTCTCTCGCTTGCCTACAACTGCTGCGCCATATTCTGCACCCCGTCTAACTGTTTGTGCATACTGCTACAATAGCTGTCGCCTGTTTTCCGGCTGTTAGTTGCTGCTATCATTTTCATTTCATCTGCACCATCTCGTACTTCCACTGATATCCTATGGGTAACAGCACGAATATGTGAGTAATAACTATATACGATTAGGTATTCAAGTATTTTTACTGCGTCGCAAGATCTTCCCAGTATGAATGGGTATTTGACAAAGTTTCTTCTTGCTCCTGGTACTTACCTTCTCTAGATTTAGGACCTTGAACGCCTTACAATCGAAAACATCATTCGAGGAAAATTCGACTGCACCGGAAATTCTAAACTCCATGAATGCAAGATGGCTTGCTAAGCTTCGGATAATTAAAAATCTGCCTTTATATTGACCGAAGATGTTGTAGCGACTCCCAAGTGGTTACAAGAATTATCATTGCTCGAATATACTGGTCCATTTTGTTGAATAAGATCGTTGACATAGGCCCCCTAACGGACCATTAACTGTGATGTCAAGAAAAGGTCGCAGGCTGTCAAGAGTAGAGAATA